GGTAGCGGCGGATCTCCCGCAGAGCCACGGTGCCGGGCCTGTAGCGGTGGGGCTTCTTCACGCCGCCGGTGGCGGGGGCGCTCTTGCGGGCAGCCTTGGTGGCCAGCTGCTTCCTGGGCGCCTTGCCGCCGGTGGACTTGCGAGCGGTCTGCTTGGTTCTCGCCATCTTCCTCGCTGCTCTTCACAATCGGCACTGTAGTGAGAGCAGCAGCCCGCACTCGGGTTTATATGCGCAGGCAGCCCCGTCCTGATTGGAGGGGGCTGTAACTCGCTGATTGGACAGTTTGAAAACCAGCGCCGTGTCCATTCATTTCTCGCGCCTCATATCACTTTCAATAAAAAAAAGTAAAAAAGACTCCCGAACTGCAACTTCCCGACATTTTATACACGTTTTATACATTTTATACAACGCATTTCTACTAAACCATCTGTTTTCACACTCAGTGTCCTCGGCCAGCTCTCCCAGTTGCAGCAGCCTTCCACAGGTGTAATTATATCCAGGCCCGAACTCGTCCATTTAAGTGCATTAAAATACAATGCATACGTTAGCCCTAAAACATATCTAAAAATATCTGGATGTCGAAGTATTATGCAAATTATATGAGAAGACGCTTTTTAAATGAGGTTCAGCTTTGGGTTTTTAAAGTTGTTGCAACAATTAAATGATCTGTTAGAAAGTGACTTTTTGTTATATGGCCACCAGGGGGCGAGGTTGCTATTCGGATATATGGTGGCTGTTTTAAATGTGCCAATTTTTCATGTTCAATGAATTCAGTTATTCAACTGAATGAAAGGGCAAGGACAGCCTGCACTCGTGTCTTTCACTGCTCAGCATTAGGTGCCACAGGTTTATGGATCACCGCAGGATCACCACACCACTGGGACCTGGCCCTTTCACAATGCATCATCAATTACATCGTTTTCCAATGGAACATTATTCTTTGCAAAACAAAATAAGGCTCTTCTAGTTCCTAGTATTAGTGCGGTGGAATTAAATAAAGAATAGACTGTAGAAGTACAAGCTGTTTGTTAACTTCTTTTTGGGTCTAATTCTGTGCAGAAAAAAATGATTTTGCTTTCTTAGATGCTGTTCAAAAAGCACTTGATTCATGGACATCACAGTAAAGTCCCTAATATTTTGCCATGAGGAACAACATTTCCTGAAGGGATAACTCTTTTGTCTGTATAGAAAACCTGATTTTAATTTGCTTAAGATCAGATCAGCTAATTTCCCAGATTTACAGAGGACCTGGGTTGAGCTGACCTGATGATCTTATTCCCCAATAATAATAACAATTGCTTAAACTTATATAGCGCTTTTCTGGACACTCCACTCAAAGTGTTTTACAGGTCATCGGGATCCCCTCCACCCCCACCAGTGTGCAGCCCCACCTGGATGATGCAACGCAAGAACGCTCATCTCACATCAGCTATCTGTAGTCAGCAGAACAGATCAATGAAGCCAATTCAATCCGGGTATATCAAGGTCTCATATAAATACAGACCAACTAATTAAGATGGAGAAGAGACATGATTAGAATTACTAAGCTTTATTGGTGGAACTAAATATTGACCCGTCACCCAATTACTCAACAGGTGAACTATTCACAAGCAAAGCCCCTTAACAGAGTGAGCTCTAGTGGGGGCCACTGACATTGATCTGTCTCCTGCTCCATACGAAACACAAGGCATGGAGATCCGTCCTGCCGCTGGAGAGTCGCCAATCTTGGGAAGACAAGGAGCATTTGGATTTAAGCTACAGAGAAGCAATCAACAGTCAAAGCTAGGACAGCCATCTTGTGGCTTGATTCTGCTGTGCTTCAGTTCCACATTTAAAATGGGATCTGGTGCACAGCATTTTGTATTGTGTTTCATTTTGGGGTGGATGTCCTGTATTGAATGGTATTACTTTGTCTTGGGTGCAGACATTCATGGTATTTGGGGACCCTTCTTCCACTAAAATCTAGCGTCTACATTCTAAATGGGAGCTACTACTCCTGATGTTAAAAGGGGTTTTAATTTCCTTCCAGGGTTTTGAGGTAGCTGTGGTTTCATAGTAAATACAGTAGTTACAACAACAACATATATCAGGATACTATCAAATCCTTTCTCCCTTTAGCTGTCGTTACAATACACATTCCGGTCTTTCTTTCCTATGACACAGACAAGACATGTACTGTAGTTGCAGTGGCTGCGCTCAGGAGAGTGAGTCAGCAGAAAGATCCAGGGCTTTGGCTTCACAGATAAAGCGTTCCTTTATGCTGCACTTTAGGTCATTCCAGGCCATCTGAAAGCTGGCCACAGGATTGATAGTCACACAGTCCTCGTCCTCGTGATTGTCAGGCTGCCTCTTGTTCCAGTACCTGGAACAGAACAGCAACACAATTCAGCCAGAACATTATTGCACCTAGGAAGCTCCAAGACTCAAGCTACATTCACTTCAGTAGGCCAGGCTGTAGACAGTGCCCCTCACCTTCCAAAAAACTTTGCTCTACCTCTCTATCACTGTGTGTCACTAGATAAATAGTAAATAATTACCTCAACATCTGTGTGCACACATCTCATTTAGTGAGTTTCACGATCGTCATCCCTCCTCTTAAGGGCGCTCCGACCCTTTCGTATTTTAGTTCATTATGTGCACCTCCCCCCTGTTTAGTCTGTCATTATTTAAGCCTGGTGCTCCCGCTATTGCTGGCTCAGCACTGGGAGATGGACGCCCGGAAGACCGCCTACCAGTGGGTCCAGGAGAGACCCGATGGCATAGGCGCCCTGACCGTCTGAGTCCGGGGCTCGGAGCGCCTGGCCACGTTACCCTGGTTTTACTCCTTGCTCCTGTTCCGGATCCGGTTCCGGATTTTAACCTTCTTTGTCTCGGATGGATCCCCCGGTTCCTGGACCCTGGACCGCGCCCCGGATTCCCCCTTTGGACTGTCAGGATTGTTTGCCTTGGCTACGCCCCCCGAGCACTGGATCACCACCATCAGGCCCCCCTGTCTGTCAACCCCTCCTGATCCTCGCCGTCTCCTCCCTGTTGTCCTTCTCCACTTTGTTCCGGATTATACCGTCTGCTCAGGGTCCTGAACTACGCTTCACAGGAGCCTGGACTCCCGTTACAGTGAGATGGAAGTTTAGTACCTGACTCTGCCACTACTCTTACCCTTTTGTCAGTTTAGTGCCATCCACCCACATGAATGTATCCTCTTTTGCGGCATCGTTCAGGCCAATCCAGTAGGTTTCTTTACTGTGTTCGAAGACAAATTTCTGAATACAAAACATACAATTACAAAATTCCTTAGCTGGTGCTCTTGCACATTGCTAGACGCAGACAGAACAGAACAGAATCTTTCCAGAACAGAATCACATTGTTTCCTACCTGTTTTTCATCACTGTTTATAATCACCAGGTTAGCACCCAGGAATCTACAGTAAAAGAAACTCTCATTCCAATTCATTGCATCAGAAGAGAAGTAGTAACAGGTGGAGTTCATGTTTATCCAGTTTGATGGACACGCTTTACAGATAAACTCTGTATAAAGATAAAACAGACAACAGCAGTTTCTATCAGTACAGCATTATGTCTAGAACAGTGTATCAGTACAGTATATCTCATTTCTTCACTGTACATCATGTGACAAACAGTTAAGCAAGCTTAGAAGGGATATACTATGAATCAAGTATGCTCTTGGATTGTCTGGAAGTGCAGACCTAGGAATAAGAGACCACAGTCTACTACTTGTCTGGATAAAGACATCTGTGTGGAATAACAAACTGAGTTGGAATACACTAACGTTAAATCGCCTTCCACTTCCAGGTAGGACCATGTTATTACAGTAAGTCTGTGGTGCCACAACACCCATAATAGGAAAATTCTTCCAATGCATGGAAGGATCTCCTTCTTTCCCGCTGTAAGACCAGTACACTCTTGCGCTCTTGGTACCCCACAATATCACAAGTTCACCTCATGCTGGGACACACAAGCCCTGTACACTCACCCTGTGAACCGTTCTCTGCAACCTGACAGTACTGTTGTAGAATCGGGAATTTCTCAGACAAGACCGTAAAGAACTGGGTCCTCTCGTTCCGTAATTGGCCAACAGCTGCAGTCAGGGTAGTGATCTCTTTCCTGGCACTGTGAGAGGATGTGCCATCTGTGGAGAGGAGATACAAGCATTGTTTGTAGGGAAAAATAAATGGCACTGATTTTTGTGAACTTACAGTATATGCTTAGAATATTACACTTCTGACATTCAGTCAGTGGGGATGCACCAGACAGAATTCAAACAGGCTTTCCACGAGTAATCCTTCTGAAATCATCCCAGTAACCCTCCAAAGGATTGAGTACTAGGAATGTCTACTACTTTGCAAGATTTATTGGCCATATACAATTTCTTGTGTTAGGGATTTGTCTTTCTGCATACCCCAGCTTGCTCTCCAAGAGACACACAGACAGGGAGAGAAGCTTGGGGGCCATTTATACGGGGCCCCTGGAGCACCTGGGGTTCAGGGCCTTGCTCAGGGGCCCAACGAAGTAGGATTCCTCTGCCAGCTGCGGGATTTGAACCGGCAGCCTTCCAGCCACAGGCGCAGATCCTGAGCCATACACTGCTGCATCGCTGTCTATTATGCCTGAAAGGAGCAGCCCTGCTCTGCCCTCTGCTGGAATTCGATCGCAGTCATCCATGGATTCAGAGACACACCCTCCTCCACAATGTCAAGCTGCTTAATTTTCAAGGGGTTAAGGCCACGTCCTGGAACATTCTTAAAATGAAAATCAGGGGTTACCAATCCTGGGCTGGTAATGCCTGCAGGTTTTCTCACTTGCTGGGATGAGCTGTTAAATTGGTCCCATTTAGCCAACTAGCTGGCTTTTAGCTGACTTACATGGTTAAGAGCCGAGTTAAAAGTAATACCTACTGACTCGCCAGCTTTCCAAGATCAGGTCATCCCTAATGTAGACAATTAATCCATTAGGGCTGCTATTTGGTAAAGACCTTGCTTTTTTTTTTTCTTAGTGCAATAAACAACAACGGCAGCCGGGCAGCAATTCATTTTAAACCTCTTGGCTCTGGTCTTTCAGACAACCTTTTACATCAGGTATCCTTCTAGGAACAGTTCAGAACACTAGGATATTTGTACACATGGAAACACATGTTAAGCACTGCTCACATCTAACTAATGGTCACACAATCTAACTCAGGTTAACAAGCATCGGTTCATACAAGTGTGCTTTACACTCACGGTAGACACTCAAGGCTATGATGGCAATCAATAGGGCAGCACATAGCAGCCCCAGACACACAGCTGCCAGCCTGTAGGGAGGAGGGCTGGACTCCGCCTTCATTCCAGACACAGATTCTGGTGGAAATAAGAGAACAGGTAACACCATACTGAACTGTTGCACACTGAAGAAACAAGCAGGCGCCACTGTATGAAGCTCAATGCTGTGTACGAAGATAAATTGGCCAAATCCAAAATATCCATGGAGAGTGTAATGTGCGAAACCCCTGATTTCACAGTAAGTTCATGAAAAGAAGTGTGGTGAGAGGCAACAATACTCTTCCTGGAAAATGAAAACACTGGTCCAGCGAAGAGACAGCACTCTCACAACATAACTCTGTATTGCCACGGCAAAACTGAACAGGATAAACAATCAACAAACATTCATTTATAGTGTCAATCTGTGTACATTTCTGATATCCAATTTGCAACCGCTGTTACACAAGTAACTGGTAGAATTTGTTCACCACACATTTCCAAATTATCTTCTGGCCTGCACAGAACACTCTCTTCACAGGAAATTACAATACCAGTGTAGTGGACAAAGAGAACTGCTTCTATGTTCAGGGTTAGGAGAAGATGCACAGCTCGATGTGACTATAGTAGTTAAAACAAAACAAGAATAAGTAAACTTTCATATTCTTGTGCATTTCAGTCATTCAGTCCCTGACGACAGCTTGCTTTGCCAGCAAATAATACAAATTAATAATAATTTCACCTCCTATAGTGTGAATACGAAGTGCTACAGAGCACCTGTGCTTTTTTTTCTCTATCACAGCCTGATAATATAGTCATAACCAAGTGGTAAACCTAGATGGGTCAAGCACATTTTATCACAATAAATAACACAAATATACCACATACTACAGTTACAGCTATAAACAGATGTTTACAAATCATGAGAACCAATTTCCCTATTTCAAACAAAACATCACTAACCAAGAAGAGGAAATTTTAGATTGAATAATACAGGAAACCCCAATTTCCCCCACAGAAGACGGCAAAACCAGTTCTCTTATTTACTATTTACTATTTAGAACAATCTCTGTTTCCAGCCCAGGTCAGTTTGCTTGATTTAAAGTTGGGTCATTAGGCATATGTGAGACAGATCTATGAGGTACATGCATCATGAAAAAAAAATTCATAATGTGAATTATAATCATTGTCCAAACTAGCCACCATGGTAGTAGATTTATCTTTCTTAAAGTTGTAGCTTAAAGGATAAACATCTGTGGTGATGGGACTTGAGCCCATGGCTCAGGGCTGAGGCCAAAGCTGGGGACGTTGCATGGCTCTCAGTCAGCGACACTGATAGATAGATAGATAGATAGATAGATAGATAGATAGATAGATAGATAGATAGATAGATAGATAGATAGATAGATAGATAGATAGATAGATAGAT